TCCCTCCCTCCTGGCTTTTGTAACTGTGTGCTATAAAATTGCTGCTGCATGCCAAGGAACTGGTACTGATTGGGATCAATTTTATGTAAATTGTTTGGGAGTGGAGGGAGCCACATTTTATGGTTACACAGATACCCCATGGGATAAGCTTGGAATTGCTGTAAAAGCTCTTCACTTTAAAATGTCAGTGTTTCAGAGTCCAAAGTGTATTTTCTGGTTTTATTCCCAAATCAAAACATTTTCTAGGAAAAGTTGGATGTCTCTTAGCAAAAATTCCGCATTTGCTTTTGTTGTGATGGGTGGGTGGGGGGAACTGGTGGTGGTATTTGTCTACCAACACCTGTTAGTTGTGAATGATGAAGATGATGATGACACAGCTTTGACTGCTTCATCTTCACTGAATACTAAGGGTTGAATAATTTTAACTGGAGGGAAAAAGCAAAGAAGTTAACTATTTAGAGCAGAACATTATACTTGTCTCTGTTTTTTGACAGTTCAAACTAAGAATTTTCCATTCTTGACACTGTACCTATCTCATTCACAGAGCGTGCCTTACCTTTCACCAAAACAGAGACGTAAAACAGTTTTTAAAAAAAAAGTACAGTTCAAAAAGTATGAATCTCTACCTATTCTTGAAATATGCTTTTTGTCATTGAAATTAGTGCTTATTGTTCCTAACAAACACTTAGGCTAAGTAGGTTGCCCATGCAAATGCAGAAGAATTGCTTGCGGAAATGAGAAACATATGAGCCCAGCATGGTACAGAAATCTTTGAACTACGTGGAGAGACTGGCGGTTTTTGTTATCACAGTGCTAAGGCAGTAACGTCGCAGCCGCTGGAATTTCAGCGACATGGCCGGATACCTTTCTTGGTTTTCCTGGCTCACTCCTCCTTCAGGCCTCTGCTATTTTTCTTGGTGGGCAGAATGTAGGTTCTAGGGTGTCATTTACTCTAGCAGCTAATCTCGGTGCAATTTCTAATATACGCTGCAGCTAATTGCGTATGTTTTGTCTTCACAGCAATTTCCGATTCTTGATGATTGCTTTAGCCTATGCTATACCACTGGGTGTTTTCTCTGGCTGGTCTGGTGTTCTGGATTTGATATTAACCCCAGTTCACGTAAGCCAAGTAAGTATCTCCTGACTGATAATCAGCAGCAATTTTGTAAGTGGCGTGTTTTTATTGTGCACTAGCATACAGTTTTGTCAGTTTTTTATGTTTAAACTGCTATTAGTACGTATGGACCACTTTTCTAATGAAATTTTAAACAAGATAAAGTCTAGCTTTGGCATCGCAAACTGTCACGATTGTCACTGCTGACTCTCCACCAGCAGTGGGTATTTTCAGAACCGTATGCACCTTCTGACAAGAAGGAAGTGGCAGGTAAACAAACGGGAATATTGTTGGCTGCTGCAGCCTTAGTAAAAGAAAATAATTTTACTGGATGGAAAGGGTGAATTGGGAACAAGAGGATTTCTAAGGTTTTGATAGAGTATTATAAAAATCAAGAGTTCATTACTCAGATTCTATAAAGAGAGGTCACATTTAGGTCACAGGCTACTTAGTCATCCTTTCTTTTAGTGAATTTGTTTCCTTTAGAATATCCGAGAAAAAGTCTTGCACTTCAGACTGTTATCGGGGGCTGTTGCTAGCAGTTTGCAGCTCCTGCACACCGTTTGCTTTGAAAGTAACATCTTATCGTCTTATTTTCTCAGCTTTAATGCATTTCTCTACATTTTGTTTTTGTTTGGTTTTTTTTCCTGTCAGGTAGATGCGGGCTGGGTTGGATTTTGGTCTATAGTTGGAGGCTGTGTTGTTGGCATAGCAATGGCAAGGTAGGAATAATTACATGTCCTTCTTTGTTTCTTCAACTGTGACTGTTGTTTAGCTTTTCCTCTTAATAACGTAACTTATTTTCTCTCGTCTGCTAGAAACTTGAAATGGAAAGTGTATTCCGGGGTTGTGATGTGTTTCATGTAGAGCAATAATATGAATATTCCACGTCAGTGGTTGCTGGGGGTTGAGAACTCCACATGTGTATACCTCATTTTGGCAAGTTGTACTGTTACTCCTGACAGGTGCTTCCTATATGCTCCTTTTAAACACAGTTCTTGTGAATTCAGCTGCCCGGTATGAGGGAGGACCTATTGTAGCACATTTGGAAAGCGTTGAGGAAATTAGTATCCGTCTCCTTTCATCAAGACTTTTGGGCATACTGATTCCTGAAGGGATGTTGGGAATGTAGCACAGACAGCCTACCCACAAGAACGTTACATTCCTCCACAGAGAAATTAGTCTTGGCCCATTTTGGCCAGGTTGCTGGATTCCTATATGGCCTAACTATTTTTTGCTGCACCGCTATGAGCCTACAGTATGGATGTACCTATGCTTTTTGTATATCCAAACATAGCTGTATCTGGCCATCATGAATGCTGATGACATGGGGAGTGGAAAAGCAAGAAATGCATTGCCCTTCCAAAAGGCTGCTGCTTCTTTTTCTTCATTGAGATTCCCTTTAAAAAAAGAGGTGGGAGGAGGGAGAAGTCGTCTTTCAGGAGGTACTTAAGCAGTGAATTTATAAAACTGACAAAAACCAATGGCATATTCCTCTTGCATCGGGATATCTAAGCATTGTCCTGGCTTCTCTATGCCCACTCTTTAGACCCCAGTCCTGCAATGAGTGCAGCACAAGTGCAGGGGTTCTGTCATCGTTGCAATCATTGTGGGATTGTGGACCGAGAGAGGCATCTGTTTAGGACAGAAATTGAAGCTCTCTTTTTTTCATTTACTGTGCATCATCAGTGTACATAATGCATAAAGAAATGCGAGGTTTCTCATCTTGACATTTTGCAGGCTGCCTAGCAACTGCAACAGAGGGAGAGGAAAATACTCCAGACCTAGGGAAGAGAAACAGGCGCTTCCCTCCCTTCTGCTCCAGATGCAAGCCAAAGGACTTAATCTATTGAAACAAAGTTCACACACTGATTTTCTCTAAAAAGAGTTGCTTTTGATTAGCTAAGCGTGGGTACGAGGTTTTTTCTCTAAGAGAAGTAAATGTTAAAAACCAACTGCTGTAAATGACACAGATGCTATAGCAGGGTACATGTTGAAGCAGGTAGTGTGCCACTTTAGTCTTTTCCATCATGAGTTAATCTCTGGTGTATTTGCAACATCTTAATAGTAGAGGGGTGCCCTTAGCAGCTCACTTAACTTTGTTAGGAGGAGACAATCTGCTGACTCAGTGTCAACATGCAAATCTCAGTCTTTATGGTAGATTAATTTATTTAATGTATTGCCTGGTTTAAGTTTCAGGAAATGCTGACAGTCTCCTTAACTACTTCAAAATTGATTTCAAACCTTGTTGAGTATCAGTATGTTGTAGCATTCAGAGCTTTGCTTTTGAGTAAATTAAAAAAATACCAGCAGTCTGTCTCAAAATAGGTCTTTCTAACTTGGGCGATATGCAGTTCAAATGGGAGGGTTTGCGCAGGGAAAGGGAGGAAGGAGGTGATTTGTCACTCCTGATGGATGACTTTCCCTCCTAGGCCTATTCAGCATTTATCTGTGTAGGGTTGAATCAATGACGAGTCTGACTGTAATCTGCTGAAAGTTGTAATTAGGAAAATTAAGTAATGATTCTTGTCGAGGCTGACAAGTTGATGTATTTCAGTGTCAGAACTGTGATTTGCCAAGCAAGCAGCTCTCTCCCTTAACCACCTCACCAGAAGCTGTTGGGTTTGAGATTTTGTTTTCCTAATTTTTTTTTTTTGTTTTTACCTGCTAATTTATTGAATCAAAATTGGTGCAGTTTAGGAATTTGCTCCTTCCATTTTTGTCAATGCGGATTCTACCATATCGAACTGTAACAATGTGGTCCTGCACATCACAGTAGTTGTTAAATCATCTATATTTGAAGTAATGCCCAGTTTGGAAATTTGTTTATCTATCTCATTTATGAAATGGTGCAAGTTTTCCTCAGCACAAAACATAAATCTCCCTGTTCTCCACCCACTGCTGTCCTGATAGCCATGAACTTATATACGTTTAGCTAATTTGTATGATGTGTTTTTATAATTGAAAAGCCTGGGCTATTTTGGGCAGCTGGCAGGTGCTGTACCCTTTGCTGGCAGCTTTCAAATGATACGAGTTTGAAGAAAAGCAGTGTCAAAGAGCGACATCCATATCATTGCATGGCAGCATAATTCTATTTCCTTTTCTCAGGTTTTCCCCCCCCACACACATACATTTGCTAATGATCATAGATATTTCTGAGGTTTTGTCCTCCACAGCTCAGCTTTTCTTCCTGCTTTTAACCTGCAGTGTAGTCAAAATGCTGAAACTTTATGACATGGTGATAATTTCCTTAGTAACAGACAGTGATGTCGGCGACACAGGTTTGTGATTTTAACTGTAGGATCCAGCATGGGGCTGGATTTGCTGGGCTGCAGGAGACTGTTACCAGCGGTAGGCTCAGAGCTCTGTATCTGGGTGAGTACACACCTTCTTTCCTGGCGTGCCTACTTTTTTAGTAGCTGCAGACATCCCCTTACATGCTAGATGATGAAGAAGGATTTAAACAGAACAGAGTGTTTTGAAAGCAGATGCTGGGGTCAGAGGATAAAAATATTTTCTCTCACTTTTTGATTGAAACAAGTATCCTGAAGAGTTTACTTGATTTACAGTCATCTTTATTCACCTGTAGCCAGGCAAGAAGCAGAAATCTCTCGATTACCAAGTTCAGGCTAGTTTGCTGTGTTGTTTTTTCTCCATTATTTCTGTTGCTGGCTGAATTCAGTAGCTGCATAAACCTTTAAGTTTGTATTTGACCCTTCTGGAGTCCTGTGATGTCTGAGAGCTCCTTGGAGCACGCTGCTGCCACTAGTACCGAAGCCAGGATCTTTGTGTCAAAAAGAGTTGCAGCTACTCAGTAAAGGTAGATATTTGCTCCACTGAACTATCTTGAATGGTTTAGCTGCATATCCTCTTCCCATCCCCACACAGCCCTGGTGGTAGGACAAGAGAAGGAGGCCCCCCCTTAGAGATCCCTTCCAGACCTCTTGTCGGTGAATGACCCTCGCTGAAGGCTGAGATTTCTCACACTGTGTTTCATTAGACGAGGTGTATATAACTGCTCTTGCCTGTAAGGAGAAGGAAAAGTGATGATGTCTGTCGGCATGCAAAGCAGGGAGTCTCAGTGGAAGAAGCTGAAAGTATGCACTTTAAGATGCTTCTGAGAAGCTTTTAAAATGCTGATTTTGACCCCAGTGATCCCAACGAATAATTAAAGAAACTGGCAAACCACTGAGAAGAGGTGATCCTGATTGCTGGATTTGGATTGTCAGAAAAAAACAACAGTAGCAGCTAACCTCTGCCTATTGGAGATTAATGCATAAGCCACTTGAACACTGCAGTCATAAACTTTTAAGATTATATGCAGCATTGATCTTCTGCTGCTGCTTATTGAATTACTCGCTGCTAAATTCAATGTGGAATTAAAGCACAGGGAAAATCAAAATAAGAGGAAAGAAGTGGTTTTTTTTGGTTGGGATTTTTTTTTTTTTTGATTGCATTACTTGTGCATCCCTTATGGTATATGTGGAGTTGAGGTTCCTAGTTCTCAGAATGTTGGTAGCATTATCTGTTTTATCAAGTAAGCTAGAAGGTGTCTGCCTGTGAAGTGACCATTGTCAGGGCGGAGAAGGTAGTTACCTGACAGACAGACAGATTTCATCATGGACCAACCTAAGTGGACTGTGCTGCTGTTAGCCGAATCAAGGTAGGAGGCTGTGAGGGAGAAGACATTCTTTAAACATACATACCTAACCTGTCTGGCCCAAAATCACATCTCCTAAGCAGGAGGTTATAGAAATTTACTAGTGGGTAAGTGACATTACCTTTTCTAATATACCTTTGTTCATAGCTATGTTGAAATCCCTTTTCAAAAGAGCAGTTGCACTGATAATTATGCCATGTGAGTGCTGCTCAAATGCACTCTTCTCTGATAGAAAAAGGGAAAAAGATGAAAAAAAGCAATGGTACTATCAGGTGGTATGAAGATCATACTTCCCTCTGTGTAACAGTCAGGCTGCCCACGTGCTTGTGGGGCTGTCCTCCCCGAGACTGTCAGTGGGGCATGTGTGTAGGAGAGGAGTGGCCCCGAGCTCTTGGTTTCTGGAACATTTTGACCCAAAACAGCCACTGGCAGAGTGAACGCCTGCGTAAAGAGTTCCTGCTCTGCCTAAGCCACCAAGAGCTTCATCACCAATGCATCCGAGGGTTCCGAAGCTGTTCCTTGTCATCTTCGATCTAGGGATTCTGGTGTGTGGAGTTTTGTCATTTCCCAAGGAATGAATCTTGACACTTAACTATGTCTTGAATGAAATGCAGCAGCCTCCTCATATGCTAATTGAGTGGTGTGTCTGCCAAGGGAGACTGGCAAACGCTGACAAAACAGCGATGTAAGTAGTGGTGTGATGTTGTGTCCAACAAATGCAGAAGGGGAAAAAAAACCAAACCCTTCCTGCATACTGAGTGTTTTCAGTTGATGCCTTGAGAATTTTTCTGTTTTGGTTGTTAGTTTGTGACAGCTAAAAAGTCCATGGCTCTTCAGCTTGACAGCTAGAAAGATCACCATTCTATAACAATGCTTTTTTTTAATATTTCTGAAAATGAGAAACACTTTTCAATTTGTTTTTGTAGTCTCCAAAATGCTTAATGAGAATATACTGAATTAGTTGTCAAACATCACATTTAAGTAATATGAAAATCAGCATTTGTACTGCTCTGATCTGTGCTTTTATTTTAGATTTGCAGATTTTATCAGGGGCATGCTGAAGTTTATACTGCTGCTGCTTTTATCTGGAGCAACGTTAGCATCAACCTGGTTCACTCTCACCTGTCTAAATAGTGTCACTCATCTGCCTTTAACCACAGGTATCAACAATTATTTTAATTCCTATTATTTGTAATTGGTATTGCAGGCAAATATTTGCATTCTTAAATCAACTGTAGTATAACCTGGTTTGGTATCTTTAGTAATACAGTAGTTTTACCAAGACACAGAAAAAAAAAACACCAGGTTTAGAAAACCTCCTGAATCTGAAATATCTTTACCAGCTTTGAATAGCTTCATAAAAAGATTAAAAACTAACAAAACACAACAATAAGAACCCAGAATACACATTTGAAATTGATTCTGGAATGGAGTGTTTTTCTGGTTTGAATGTTTTGAAGTAACAGAGATGAGAAATAAACCAAGAAAAATCGGATGAATGTAAGTAGCATTGCGTATAAGAAACAGTGACATGTCTGGCAATTTAGGGTTTTGAAACTTGCATTAATTACTGGAAACGGTGCAGTTCAAACCGAGGTGACCCATGGTATTTTCAGCCAGCTGAATCTATCCCTGCACTGTGCTGTCCTCTTTTTTGCACCTGCATGCAGGTTCAGGGAACTATTCCAGCCCAAAATTAACTCAGCCTGTGCCTCAGGAAGATGGGGGAAAAAAGCTGTTGGCCTGAGAGGGGGAAAAGCACAGAGGTCTGCTCAAGCTGCCAGTGAGCTGTACCCTTAGTTGAAAATTGGCACTGCTTAGTTCTTAAAAATCTGTCCTTTACCTTACTAACTGCACCAGGGGACCCACCTGTAATTCCAAGACCTTCAACAGAGTAATGAGTTACAGTAGAACTAAGCCATCAAGATTTTTAAAAATAAAGAATTCTGTACATCCATTTTAAATAAAGGGCCATCTTTGTTATAGGCAAGTTTGTGCATTAGAGGAGAAATGAAAATTGTTTTTTTCCCATTTTTAATACAGTTTCATGTGGCGAGTAGTGTGTATATATATATAAATATTATCTTTTAATATATCTTGAATATATGTTGAATATGTTTTATATATTTAATATGTAATTTATATATGCTTAATTTAAGTAAAAGAGTGTACTGTTTTACTCAAATTAACTATGAATTTCAGTAAGTGTCCTTGCTGCATTGCATGTGTCACAACTATGAAGTAAAGTGGGTACAGCAAATTGAAATACATGACCAATTCAGGAGAAACACCATCTGGATGGATAGGTCAAATTTGTGATTTATCTTGAAATACCAACTTTTTTTAAAAAATTGTTTAAATGAAACGTAACTTAATCGATAAACAAATCAGATTTGATGGTGGCTGCTGTCATAGAAACTGACTACACCTTTCCATCAAATCTAAAATAAATGCAATAAAAGCTGATTTTTTGTGCTTGCCTGCTTCATCACTACCAGCCTGCAGTGATGTAAATTTTTACAGTAACTCTATCCTCTGAATTGATGCAAGAAGCCAACCACATAAATGTCCCTTCAAGTCTGTGCATAAGAATGAGGCAGGCAGCTTTCAAGAGGTGAAAGTCATTACGCACGCACTCACCAGTGATCCAAAACAAACTGATGGAGCTCTGTCGCTGATTTTGTTTTACTTTTTGTAAAGAACTCAGCGTGCAACCTAGGTTCTAGAAGAATTCTTACTTGTTTATAGCATGTAGGTGCGTTACAGTATTTTGGTGGAAAGGTGATCCACTATCAGGACATAAAAGTATCCAAGGTGTTTGGGGTTTCATACAAAGTATCCTAAACTAATATCTTTTGATAAAAATGTAGGGATTGGGTTGTCCTTTTCATGCATTTATCGTTTCTTTTAAAATGGGTTATTTCTTAGATTGAGTTGTAGATTATATTTTAGAGTTTTCTGTCTGTGCTGTTCTTATATATGTCGCTGTAAATGTTGAACCTTTTTCAATAAAACACAAGCTTGTTTTGAATAGAAATGATAGCAATATGGTGCATTCCTCAAAAAAGGCAATCTGAAGCGTCCGGACTTAATGTGCAGCCACCAAATAAGATCCCTTTTTTCTTCTGTGGCATAATGTTTAAACTTCATAGATAGGTTGCAGGCGTTTCGTATCAGCCTTTTCTCATTAAAGTTCATATAAAATAGATGTAATGTGCCTGTTCAGTTTAGATTCTTGTACACAGAAAAGCAGTGGTATATCTTTATGAAATATGCTGTTATGGATGAAAACACACAAGCTATTTAAGATAATTTATAGGACTTCATGCTAGATTATTGCATCATTAGATTGAGGAATATGATAATGACCTCTGCATTCCACAGTAATTGAGAGAAATGGTATATTTTAATTGATTTGGATGAACTTCTTGCTTGTTTTCTTCTTTTAATTAAGATTTTGAGACATAGAGGATATTGGCCTATAAATGTAGAAGGTCAAATGCAGGCTGTTGGCTGACAGCTTTGGGAAGAGCTTTGGTGGCTTGTTAAGGTGGAAGTCACTCTGCATACTCAGTGGACCGATGTTGACAGTGGACTTCAGGTAGTTGTCCTCTGTTTTTGTAGAGCTGAAAGATGTGCAAAACAAAAGCAGCCATCATTGTTTTTTTATTTTTTGTCTTTTTTGGTTTGGTTGGTTTTATTGTTTGGGGTTTTTTTTTTTGTAATATTGGTCCATGTAATGCCTCCATTGAAGGCCTTATATCCTAGACGTACTTTGCAGGCATCGCTGAATACCTGCTGCAAACCAGGGATTTGTTGTGTTATTGAGGGCAACATGGTTTGATGTTGCCAAAAGGTTGAGAGGCTCCTCAACTTCCTCCTGTCCTGTGGCAAAGACCACAAGTGTTACCCTTGGCAGTGCTGCAGAGCCAGCGATGGATCTTGGTCCGCACTTTCAGCCTGATTCAAATGCTGAGGCAGAGCAAGCAGGTAACTGACTGCTGTGGAAACTTGTGGGGGTGTACATTTGATCTTGCAAGGAGGTTTTCCCTTCCAACCATCTAGCACTCATTTTGTGAGGGGCTTCCTCCTCCTCTTTTGCCCTAGCCCTGATGTTCTCTTGGGCAAGTCAGACTTTGCCCTACAAAACCACAAGCATTGCCATTTTCAGCAATACCTGGAAACTGCTGAAGTATCCACTGGTACAGTTAAAAGGGAGCTCTTCCATGGGACAGGACAGTCATTTTGGTGAGGAAGCAAGACACCTCATGGGAGTCTTTGTACTGGCCCAGGTGTTAAGGCAGGCTTCATCCCAGAGATGAAGGCTGTTTAGAGAACATCATCTTCTTCGTATCACCTGACAGATGCTTGATCCATGACTAAAGTTTGCATCTGTAGGTAGACTTTGCCAGTGGTTTTCCCAGGACCAAAAATAGTCTTTTGCTTTACCATGTGGATGTTGTGTGGCATACATGCTTGTTCCCCTCTTCTGAAAACCCTCTGTCTGTCTCTCAGTGTGGTCTCCAGAGTAAGCACTCAGGTGGGTATGTTTTCGTGGAAGCAGGCTTTTGAAATGCTAAAAAGATGAGTGAGTTTGGCCAATTATTCACCCTGAAGGGATGGGAAAAAAAACTCTAAAGATTTGTTTTTAAGAAACAAACCAACCACCCCCCTCTTTTAATCAGTATTCTTCATAGCAGTTGTAGTAATTCTGTTCTAAATATTGGGGGAGGAATTGCGTTTGAAAAGATGGTCACGGCAAAATGTTTTTTGCTGCGCTTGTTTGTATAATATCCTCCTAATTCCTTGTAAATAGGCATGGCATCATTTAAAGATGTTTCCTACAAAATGTAATTACTTAGAATGGACACCTTTAATACAGATATTAAAAATCAATTACTGCTTTGTGTTTTCTTTAAATGATGCTGTTTAGCATTGTTTGTATTGTGTAATGCCTGCAGTGCTCTGCATTGTCATCATATGCTCCATTTTTCCTCCTGCCATAGAGCAAGAAAAGTTTTCTGTCATTTGCTGATTTCTTAATGTATGTCCAAAAGTTTTTATAAAAAGTGTATTTGGAGTCATGTGTATGAACTATAACTGCCAGTATGGGAAAAAAAGAAAGCAAGATAATAATGATATAATACCATCATAGCTCCTATAGGAACACCTCTCATTACCTAATCATAGCTCTTAAAAACCCCTTGATTCCAGAATCCGTTTATGTTTTAAGCAAGCTTGAATTTTCTTTTAAGAAATTTTAATTTTAATGCATATTATTTGTATTTTTCAGCAAGTTTCAAAGACAGTCTTTTGTACACTTTGAGCATTAAAATAGTTTTCTCTATTGAATTCCCAATGCAGCAGCTGATCTGTTTCTCCGTGCCAAGTCCATTGTTAGTTTGCTTTGTGCTGAACTTCATTATGTGAATTTACGTACAATGGGATACTTCGACCCAAAATAATTGTGTAAGGCGTTGTAATGCCAGTTTCAGTATCTTGCCACTTTGTATTGCTGGTAGTATCTCTGGATACAAATACTAGCATTTTCCAAAAATTGTTATGCAACGCTAGTTGCTCTCAACTCAGATTGAATGTTTTCAGCATAGCATAGCAAGAATATGCTAATATTTATGATCACATTCAGCAGAATTTTGCTTCACAAAATCTTTTCTACTGCTGCATGGCAGATACTCTGAATATGGTGGCAACTTCATGGGTTGATGGCTATATTTAGGTTAAGCAGTCTACACTTTCTTTTTGGGTTCAACATATTGAACATTATAAACACATCTGTCTCCCTGTCCTCTTCTACAAAGCACAATATTGAAAGAGAGAGATGTTAATGATTTATTACTGATTGTTTTGGTCTTTGAGTTTAATTTCTTTACTGAAAGGAAGACCTGCTTGTTAAGTATAAGGTAGGGGGACGCAGAGAAGACGACAGTGGTCTGAAAGCATTTCTTTTGCTAGCTTCAGCATTAACCTGATTATGGCTGTGAGCAAATCATTACCCCCACTCCTGTTGTGCTTTTGCCACTCATAAGGTGGGAATAATGACTTTTTTCTTCCTGAAGGCTTTTGTAAGTCCACAGATAGAAGAGTGCTTAAAGAAAAACTAATTTAAGGGTTTTGTTTAATAACAGTTAAAAACCCCAGT